GTCCCAGTCAATTTTCATGATTTTTATATTAAGTTTACCCAAGGGTTTATATAATGAATTTACCCTGTTAATATTAGTAACATTTTTTTAACACTATTAAATTTACCCACTTTATATCATGGACTTTTTAAAAAAATTTATTATTATTAAAAAATTATTAAACTAATTTTTAAAATATGTTTCAATTGCTTTATAGCATTCTCATTATTAAAAAATGAATAAAAGGATGATGTATTTTCATCAAGAGAAAGAAAATTATTTTGAAATGAAAATGAAAAATTTTTACCAAAATAATATATAACTTCTTTAGGAGTAATATGTGCATATAATTTACCATCTGCACTACAATCATTAGTAAATAACCTATTTCCATAAACATGAACAAAACAAACAAACAGAAATATATGATAATGTATCAATAGTATTGACATTATCTACTAAAGCGTGTTTTCCTCCTTTCAATTCATACATTACAATAATTTTGGCAATACATAATTGGTTTTTAGTAAAAATAAGTAAATAACCATTTCTATCTAATGGATTGATTTCTGAAATATTTGCACATCCAATATTAAAACCTAAATTAACAAGGATTTTTTGCTTAATAAAAAAATTAAATGAATTAAATAATGAAATAAATTAATAAAATAAAATATCACCTGGCATATTATCATTGGTTCTAAACATATTTTCAATATTTTTTCTGCCTTGCCACCTAGTCACTCTTCTTCTAACAGTTTGTCCGGAATCATTACTTGTAATTTGTGTGATTAATTGATTTGCAGTATTAGTATTAATATTTTCATGTGCATTATCTAATCTCATTATATTAGAAACTTTGTGCAAATGTTTTGAATGTGAATATGATAATTTTAAATGAACTTTTGTACAATCTGTCATTGCAACAACTGGACCATCCCAGTTTAAAGCTTTAGCAGCACATGCAAACCTAGCAACATTTTCGTAGGTTAAATTAGGGTTTGTCAAAAGATCTTCATTTTTTGAACGTAAGTAACTATAGCATGGTGGACATTCGAATGTTGCACCAAGTTTTATGCTGTGTAACGTAATTTTTAAAGTAAGAAAACTGTGCGCTCAATTAAAATGGGTATATGTTGATATGTAACACGTACTGTAACTTTACAGAGATATTCTTTAATGTTTTTTTAACTTAATTCCAGCTGCATCCGTCGGCATCCGCAATTTTGACATACTTTACTTAGTACTAACATTTCCAATATGTTATTATGTGGAGCATAGTGGACATTCGTTTTATCACATGTGACAAAATCGATCATTGATCTTTTTTATGTTGTGAAACATGTGACTTTATTTTTTGCATGATATCTGGAAGGGAGATCGTCACATAATTTAGCCAATGAAATCAAATGTACACTATGCTGTGCTGTGAGGGAAGATTAGTGAAAGTGTCATTAACAATTGGCGCAGTCTTGCTAAACTCCAGGGCTTTGCGTCCTTCCTCTGGAATTCAGTTGCATCATTGTAACATCGAGGGGTCGCAAGTCATATTAGCCTTGTGTACACAAGGAATACGTGAGAATGACTGTAAAGTGTTCAAGGCAGTGTGTGTGCTTCAACATCTGCCAATTTTCGATAATCAAACATTGCATATTGAATTGTTTCAGTTGTGCTGCCTTGACATCTTGTAATTATTTATTATCAATAATATTAATATTATTGATTATGCAAAGCAAAATGCCAATCGTTCATTCGTTGTCATCTTGACAAGGATCTTATAATTACCCAGCAATGATCTGCTCCGCGTTTTGATTTCAATTATAATATTTATAATAACCAAAAAAGACAATGCAAATTAAAAAAAAAGTGTACCTCTGTCATTAACACGTCTTCTTTAGGAGAACCACGTTTTGTCATCTTGTCAAAATAAGATTGTTTTTCCAAAAAGAAAAATATCGCGTCTGTCCCAAAAACAGTCCTTGTGCGACACCAAGTGCCAATAATAATAATTTATTTTATTTACGTGTGTTTTTTTAACTAATTTTTATTTTTTCTTTTAATCAAAATGTATAAACAAAACAAAAATAAAATAAAAGGAGAAAACGAAGCTGAAAAATAATATGGGTAAGTGTTGTTTGTCATAAGGATGGTGGTGGTGGTTATTGCCACTCGTCGTCACTCTAGTTATATACATAATGAACAATCAAACTTTGTATTTATTATTTTAACATGTTTTGTGTCATGTCTCATCAACGCGTCTCTTTTTTCTTGATTTTTTGCAAAAACATAAATACGTATACGATAACTACACCGATTTCTACTTCAGCCAAGATAATATAAGGGAAAGATGCAAGCATCTTGGAAGAGCTGGGTCGAAAATATAGCACAGGACAGCTTATTGAATATTTGAAGAGACAAAAAAAAAATTTTATGAAACCGATCATGATATAATTGTTGAACAGAAATTACCTATGACGAGAAACTTAGAACTTTCTAATTGTATGTGGGTCTGATTCATTTCATCGACACCCATTTCGTCAAAAGTTTGTTTCATCAAAAGTTCATTTTGTCACAAAAAAAAAACTTCTTTAAACAAATTTCTCCTCACACTTTCCACACACCCCGCTTTCCTCACCTAATTTCTTAACTAACTTCCCACACTCCTCACATCTAACTCGTTCAGTCTCTGGCTCGAGGATGAAATGATTTTCGACGAAATGAACATTCGATGAAACAAACTTTCGACGAAATGATTGTCGACGAAATAATTTTCGACGAAGTAAACGCGACCAAAAAAAAAGATAATAAGCCAAACCTTACAACATTAAATAAGATTTTATTATCTGCAGATGAACAAGTTAAAAAGTATATGAGTGAAATTGCATATGGGCAAGCGTAAGATGGTAAACCAGGTATCATAGATTCCCGAATTCTTATAAAACAATCGCCTAACTATTGTGACATCCGGAAAATATAAAAAAATTTTACACGTGTCAATTGTAAGTTTAATAATAAAAAAGTGTAAAACTTACGTCGGCACTGTAAGATTTACACAATATTACGTCGGCATCATAAGATTTATGCAAGTTTACGCTAAATTAATTTCCTGATGGAGGTACGAAGTGCCGAATTGTTATCTTCGCTTGGTGATATGTAAAAGCACAATTTTTTCTTAGTACTTCCTTATATTATTCTACCTTTGCGTATTACCGAAAGTGTACCATGTTTTGCGGTCCTGGATCACTTTCTCGCATAGTTGGTATTACCTCTCCATGTCAAAAAATTGGATCATACCTTTGCGTATTACTGGATCGAAAATTTTGACGAAAAAAAATATGCTTTTAGTAATCGTTATAACGATGGACTTTTGAGTATCATTTTTCCATGTCAAAAAATTGATTATACTTTTGCGTATCACCAGAAGCCAAGGTAAGTACACCACCTATACCAACCATATCTCAATCCAAGCTTCGAATTTCGAAAACATCCAATGTCCCTCCGAAGCTCTTTCCATTCAAGAAGATGATATCAAAAGAGGAACGTAATCAGGTCATTAACAAATTAACCATGCATTTCACTGATTCTCCAAAGTTGGACAAATATAGTAGTGTAGATAAGGAAGGCGAATATCAGATTGATATGTATTGGGTTCTCGGTTCACGTTGTCCACTATGTAGGGAAAAACATATGAGTTTGCGAGGTAAGTAGTGGATCGATAAGCAAAGTAGTAAAACTTATTATTTGTATTGTGAAATTTAAAAGATCCAGGGATTCCTCTCATCGAGGTATTAGAAGCTTATCCTGAAAATTCAGGACTGATTCAGGAGTTAAAGTCTCAATGCTTCACATCACCTATCCCTTGGAACAATACCCTTAAATTCCCAGATAAAAGCATGGTAGTGGAGGCATAGAATAAAGTTTGCCCCATATTTCGGACTTTATCTTTTTAACCAGTGTATTCAAGTGTGGTGTGGGGTGTGGCATATACATCGGAAAAATAAGAATTGTAACGATAGAAGCCATTGTTTTTTACAAAAATCAAATCCCAATGTGCAACAATTCTTCTAAATCAGATCATTGATTCATGTAGGGGTGTAAGTGAATACCAAGCTTTGCTACTCGATTGTATTAAAAAATCACAAAGTTTATACCATCATGGGCCTTTAATTAGTGACAAAAGGCTTTATTATGCATTAGTGACATCAAGTATACATGTAAACTACTATATTTTCTTTAAAAATGTAAACCATGGCCTTATTTGATATATATTAGTATTTTCCCGAATATAGTATTCTACCGATTGAGACTGAAATGTGACGGTGTTTTTCTCTGGGTGATATGCGAATACATTGGTCTCCAAGACTTCGTTGGCATCTTCGTACTTATTGAAAAATTCCATAAACGTTCTAAAGCTAAGCTCCTTAGAATCCAATAAAGCACCGATGATGTGCTTCCCTACTTCATGATGCAGTTGTTTTCGGAGGAGTTGTGCAGATTGGAATTTTTTCTCGACTTCTCTTAAGATTTGCTGTTTAATGACTACAGAAAAAGAGTTAAGCAATTAATCCAAAGCAAAACTATATAAATTCGATTGACGCAAAATATAAAATCAATATTACCTTTGAAGGACTGTCCAGCCAGGAAATAATCCACCACAGTCTTAAGCTCTACGATACGACCACCAACTAATTCATAGATTTTATTTGCTTCTGAAGAGCTAATTTTGCGCTTGTTGACCAGATAATCCATTGATTCCTTCTCGCTGAGATCACCAATTTCCATTACTGGTTTCTTTGCACGTGACCAAGAACTACGTGCTAGAAATAAGAATCACAATCTGTAAGTAATACCATTTTTTCGAGAGCACCAAAAAACATTGTCAAATACTTACATTCCATTCTTCGGGGAACACTTCCTTCACTGCTGACAAACACGGCGATGTATTTTCTGTCATCGGCATTATCCTTGGCATCATCCTGAAGGATATCAAGGATTTCCGGATTCTTGTAAACTAGTCGGCTAACATTATCATAAATGATAACCGGAGGTTTATTGTGCTTTGCTTTGTACACTGCACCAGCACGCTTAAAGGCTTTTAAAGCTCTCTCCCATTCAGAATTCTTAGGTTTATCTACAAAAGGAAAAGTAAGGATTAAAACACCCGTTATCAACAATAAAGCAGTAATGAAAAACTTACCACTAGTTTCGCCTAATATTTTTCGCATCAGCTGTCCTGTAAAAGAAATCTGTTCCTCAAATGTAAAATTAATAGCTTTTCCGAAAGCTTCACCTAATTCATTAAAATTCGCAGGAACATCAACATATATAACGCCCTGCCCAACTTCTTTTGCTGAAATTCTAGTCAATGTTGTCTTCCCGGTCCCATGTTCTCCACAGATAACTTGATAAAATGATTGATCTT